TTAATTACAATTAATTTTAATATGAATTAATTTTAGGCACATGCTTACCTAGACAAGAAACATCAAAGCAGACGTTTCTCTCTATTTTACTGGAGGGTGTAATGTGGTAAAGTGTACTCAGGGTATGAAGTGGGAAGCATGAGACTGAACTCTACACTGAATAGAATCAGTCACTCAGAAGTAGTTCAAAGCTTAGGTAGTCCCTTCCCCACAAGGATTCTATATACACAGACAGCATCCTGCTCCCGTCTCCTCTGCAACTTAGCTATTCTTGCATTCTGTTTTAGTTTAGCAAGGACATTAGCCTTCAACCTACATCTTATGTCTTAAACCATTCCTGGTTCTAGATCCCCATCCCTTATTTTTACAGTGTTCATCAGTAGGATTTCTCACCCTCTCTCAGTATATTAAAAAAAATATGTAAAAAGATTTCACCTAAGGAAATGAATCCCCATTGTGGAAAAGTATCAAACTGCCTTGGATTTATTACACTGTCCAGAGAAGCTGCGGATGCCCCATCCCTGGAAGTGTTCAAGGCCAGGCTGGATGAGGCTTTGAGCAACCTGGTCTAGTGGAAGGTGTCCCTGCCCATGGCAGGGGGGTTGGAACTAGATGGTCTTTAAGGTCCCTTCCAACCCAAACCATTCTGTGATTCAAATCACACTGCGTACGTGTATTTACACAGGTACTTCCATCAGACCATCAGACTGCTGAAGGAAGATGTGATTTAAATACACATCACCTGAGTGATATTTAACAATTCACTGAAAGCTGCTGCCAGTTTCTTGTATGCCATAAAATTATTCATCCTAGCCCAGTGGCTAAGGGGAATCTTAAGTCCTCCCTTCATTATATCAAAAGAGAAGCAGCATTCCCACCAGAGCAGAAGTTGTGTATTTTAACATACCTTGCTAAGATCCTTTCTCTTTCAGTCAGTAATTACCCAAACTACAGCTAAGACAATATTTATTCTTTTACAGAGCAAAGGCTATTACTTTGGAGGCTGACTGGCAGAAGGACCAGCGGGAACACATTTCCCTCACCCTAGCAGTGCTTCTGATGTAGCAGTTGAAATTATTACAAGGCAGAAAATTGCTGGAGCCAAACACATAACCAATATTCAGAATATAATACACAGAGCCACTGCAAATCAGCTTTAATATATACATACAAGAATTTGGCACAGTTGAAAGTAAACAGAATTATAAATCTGCATGTTGATACAGTAACATGGAAAGGTTGATATCCCACATAAAACTTAGGACAAAATTACAGTTGCTTTGTACGCAACTGTAGCAATGTACCAGGGCTGACATGCTGAAAAGACCCATTTCAGAAACGTCTCATTTCAAAGATGGATCAGATGTGAGGGGATAAAAGTTGTCCTGATCTACTAACAGCACTACCATGATTTCTTGATCTATTCCGTGTAGACATGACGTTTTCCATCAGAGCTAAATCTAGAAGACTTTGTATGAAGAAAACTTTTGGAAGAGTGAGATGTTAGACTATACCGATTCAGATGCTACATTTTCACTAAGTCATTTTTCTTAAATCACTAAATTGACTATATGTAGTGTATATATTACTAATATATGTAATTATTTACATATAAATAATTATGTGAATTAACTACAGATTTTCAAAATTGACTATAGTCTTTTCTTAAAGCACCAAAAGAGACAGCAGAGGAAACAACAAAGCCCCTCTGAAAAATATTTTCTCTTCCCTCTCTTCTCTTTGGGAGGCAAAGGAAGAGTGAAATAGAAACAGTAATTTTTTTAGTTACTGGATTAGCAATGTGCTTCTGCTTTTTTTCTTCTTTTCTGTGAATACTCACAAAAATAATGCAGCAAAATACTGTAATTCATCAGCATAAAAAATCTGGTTATTTTAGAAGAAAAATTAACTTATCCATGACTACCAAAAAAAATTCAGCCACAATTTAAGACTGAGAATTTTCATTCCATAATTAAGGTTTTATTGCACAGAGAGAAGATTTTCTCTGCTTGATGTTTTGGGTGGGGTTTTTTTTAATTGTTTTGTTTTGGTTTACACATAATAAAAATATTTCTGAATTGACTACAAAATCAACAGAGATACCATAGTTACAAATGGATTACTGAACCTCACTTACTTGCTCTGCATTTTCTTTATTAGATTTATTTTCTTCATCCTCCTCTTCTTCAGGCTCTACAGGCGCGGGAGTCAGGGAAGCCACAAAATGCCATAAAATATCATGAAGAGAAGTTGTTTGAATGACATTACAAAGAAGCCAGTTGAAAGCCTAAAATGAAATAAACGCAAGGAATTATCAAATTGGTTAAGCAAGCCTGAAATAAAACCACTTCTTAAACCATTTAGTTAAGGAGGTGAACTGCTGCTTTTGGACAGGCAAGTAATAATGCAGAGGTCTTCAAGGAAGACACACTGCTCTCTAGCCAATTTATTAAAATGACAACTGTATTGCAGGGGGACACAGCAAAGAAATTCACAAACATAATAATTTTTTTTTTAAAAAACCTTTGAAGTGAAAAATAATGTTCTTACATATTTCTAGAGATTAATACAGGATGAGGTAGCAACACTCCTTAGTATTCAAACTGGTTAACAAAGCAGATCCGTTTTAATTTAGAATTCTGTAGGTAGGTTGAGATTTGGTTTGGTCTTTGCCATTGACTGAATTAATCCAAATATTTCAGCCACTTCAAAAAAAACCCCAAAAATCTCAACATAGCGAGGAAAAAAAAGGTTTTGAAAAATTGTAACACTCTTATATTCTTCCAAAAAGCTGCCATACTTCTGCAAGTTCAAGTTTGGAAATTTTGATGGACGGTGCTTAACAGCAGAGGTATGGTTTTTGCTTAATCTCAGAAAATCCATCTGCATTTTCACACATTACAAATACTTGCATATGCTGTATATAAATTCTGAAGAAACTTTACTAAACTTAGCTGAAATAAAAAAAAATGGCCTCAATGAGGATGCATCTTGTAGCTTTTATTGGAGCAATTAATCTTTAAAGGATCTTTTGGTTGATCACTCACTATCTACCTAACATTCACCCATCTCAGAAGGAAGTTGTGAAATATCTAGGTATTACCAGCACCGAAACGATTAAAAAAAAAAAGAACACCCAGTCTAAGATTTGAAAAAGGAATGGTAAGTAAGACCAGGAAAATGCTGAGCATTTGAGAAAACTGTATTTGTGTAACTGATTTTTGCAGCCTTAATAATCCTCATTTTCAGAGATTTTCTACACAACAGATATGCTGCTGAGGAAGGTTTACAGGCAATACTTTTGTATTCATAGCATTTAGAGTTAATAATATGAAAGAACTTTTAAAATAGGTTAAAATAAAACTGGACATCACAATTAAAAAAAAAAGATACATATAAATAAATTTAGGAAAAATATTATTCCAGAAAAATGGAGACAGAATTTGCAAATGTCTTATTTTAATCGTACAAGATCCATTAGTACACTGATACCTCCATGGCAAAGACTCGGCAAGCAGATTTCCGTAAGGCTTGTTTCATTGCTATTTCAAGTCCTTCCAGATCATGATGCTGGATTACAAATGCCAACACTGGCCACTGGAAATTTCTCTCTCCCTTGGAAAGAGAGCTGTGGGCGGAGATTAACCGAGAAAGTTCAGGAGATGGATGTCTCAGGAGTGAGGACCCCACTTCTATTCAAAAGCATAAGAAAAATGTGTGCATTAGATTCTTTGGGCATTTTGATTTTATAGCCATAGAAAGAATGAAAAGCAGTAGAGCAACTTTAGAATTATTATTTTTGTTCATTTTTTTCTATGGGAAAAACACATTAAAAAAAAGTGGAAAAATGATGTTTCAAATGAGAGAGAAAATACATCAAGCACAAAATATACACCACAAATTTCGGAACCACAGTAATTCCTGAGCTGTTCTTAGGCTAATCTAGTGTGGATTAACAAACAGCTAATGTTCATTAATAAACAGAAATAAAAGCCATTCCATGTATTTATAAAAACAATTATATTTGTCTAGAGTTTCCAAGAAGAACTGCAAATCCAACACCATATCCTTGAGTATCTTTTCACTGTTTCTGCTGTCTGTGCTCTTACCCGCATCCCCACTGTTGACTCGTCTCCTAGGGATTGCCTTTACACGCGCTGGCAAAATCGAGTGCTGTTTGTCATATTCTGATGCAACAACCGAGTATGATCTTTGAAAGACTGTACGCTTCGCAAGATCCGTATCTGTTATTGGACTGGTTTCCAAACTACAAAGAAATCAGTGAAGTTACAGACCCATTAACGAATATATAGAGTACACTTGAATCATACATCAATATTGAATAGAGACACATGCATTTCATAATGACAATGCTATTACTGCACAAAAGTTTGTCTTATGTACCCAATAACTGTTTAAATGCTGGAAAAGAAGGAACACTGATTAGAATTACACATAGTGAAAAAGCATGCAAGTGCTTTATAAACAAATGTAATGATGTACATGGTAAGTTCCAACAATTTATGTATTTTTTAGAGAGGATACAAACATTCAGATCATGCCTGAATTGAAGTTGCAGACCAAATTTGCCCTGAGAATGCACATGAAAACATCTATGGAGTGAGTTTTTAATATGCAAGCCAACTCAAATTCAGAACTTTATGTGAAGTACAAGTTTCTAACATCATTAGCCTTAAAGCCAATTTTCAACTGTTACGGCTACGCTTCTGACATGTTTTACTCCTTACCTTCAGTGGACTTCTTAGAGTCGGAAGAAGAACTCCCAGTTTATGCTGTCCCTATAGGCCTCAGGAGACCATGGTGTCCACAGTTTTAATAAAGGAATATACCAATACGATGCACTCTTAAGGAGTTTTGTTAGAAAAGTTTTATTTCTGAAAAGACTACATTGCAGATCGTAGTATTCCAATAAACTGTTTTTGCAGTCAGTATAAAATATAACAGATTGAAATAAAAACAGATTAAAAGCAAGTTTTCTCTTCACTACATCCTCCTTATGAGGAATCACCGTTTAACATCTGAAAACACCAACTTGATTCTGGGCTACTATTAAGTAACAGTGAGAGCCTTTTTTTTCCCCTGGCAAATCAAAAAAATTCTGTAATTGCATGAATTAGATCATAATAAACGTAATGAGGTAAGAAACGGCTTAACCTGCCAGAAACCATCTAGCACTCTTGTTCCTAGATAGCATTAAATTGTCATTTCTTCAGTGACATTTTAACTTCCCACAGAAAGAAGCAGCAACATTTGCTTTGAAAAATATAAAGTACTAGAATTCCCTCCTGTTCAAACTTCCCTTCAGCATGAAATCCTCAAAAGATGAGAACAGCTACTTCCTTTCAAAAAGGCCATTCATCTGCATTACAGTCTGTTGTGTTAAAAAACAGAAACACAGGGGAAAAAAACTGCTACATTTTCAAGGAGTTTGCAACAGTTTTGGTCTTTGGATTGTTGCTCTTTAGATATTTTTTACAGTTCTGTAGTTCCGTAGATTCCTGAAAAGTTGTATTTGTCTCTATGGGGAAATAAGTAGGCCTGGAGTAAGGACTGTGGATAAATTTCCCTGAGGTATGCTAAGAGTCCTTATCAATTTCCAAACAAGCTGTTTTTTTCCATATTTAGGTTGTAAACCCAAGACCTTTCTAGAGAAGAGCAACTGTTTTGCATAACAGTCACAAGTATCAAATCCAATCTGCAAACTTGCATTGCTACTAGTTGAAGAAATGCCTGGTATGGTATGAGTCACTGAAGACATTTCTATAACTATGGCTTCATCATGTTTTTGGCTTTTTTGCTGCCATTTCAGAGACTGACCTGAGCTGATCTGATACTTTTCCTACTTAACTACAGTATTGTTATTTTTGGCTTTTTTTTTTTTTAATTGGTGTTATGCTAATGATTTAACATTTCTTTGTAGTACCTAGAATTACAAGAAAGTACCTTGGGGGCATAGATTTCATGTTACTCTCCGGCTCTTCAAAGACATTAGGGCATGCATCAGGAGTAACTGAGATGTACGGTGCAGGTACTGAGGTTGAGCGCAGGTACCTCATCTCATCCTGGAACAGGTTGTCATCCTGGTACCCAACAAAGTTTTCATGATGATGCCTACATCCAATTAGAGTTTTAAATAAGGATTAGGAGCTTGTAATCCTTGAAACACACATGCAAACATTCATTTATTCCTCACCTAACGTATTTAAGCTGGTTACAAGCTGGTACAAGCGTTAGTGGAAAATACAATGGCATTTTCAACCAACAAGTAGTGGGGATCACCCTTTGGATTCTTTCTGTATTTTCACTAGGTATTTCCATTAAGTATTATAAGCCCAAATATCTACACATCATCAACGTGAGACACTAGTGTGAGATCTACTTAGAAATACCAAGTAAGCACAAGTTTTCTGGTTTCTTTCTTACTATTTTTAACTGTGAAGAGAGAAAAGTAGCACGTCTGCTACTAACACACAAAGTTAACTCTTCAGGAAGTTCTAAATTCTTTGGACAGAAACTAAACTGCTGTTAAAAAAAGTATTTATCCAAAAGCTACTCAGGATATATCTGACCGTTGGAGCAAACACAATCTAAGAAATTTGAGAGAGTCATGAAAGAAGAACAAATATCATAAAGAATTAGGAAAATATGTATTTTTCTATGTAAGTTTTAGTTTATTTATACACATTTTAATCCAAAACTACAAATACATGAATATTAAAATAAATAGTCATATACATCCTTTAATTACCTTGCTAAAGTCTGTAGGTAGAGACATGGCATTTTAATGGGAAAATCTTCAGAAATTCCTTCTTTGACACTGGGAAGGTGAGACTGGAATGTTTTTGCAGGGTGATAGCAGAGGATACTCGGTTCA